GTACATGCTCATAATGTATACTGTCACTTAATACTAATTCATCTGTTCTTGTACTTCTACTGCTTTGACAATTCAGTTTACATGCATGATATGAATAAAGCGTATTTTATCATATCTTCATTGCTCATTCTAGAAATGCCTTATTTTCCTTTAACAAAATGATAAATTTCTATAAGAAAAACATTGAGGCACCTGGATATGGCACTCAGTCAGTTTGAAACCAAACTGCATTCATTCTCACCTGTTAAGGTTACTCACCCTCTACCGAAATAACAGATTTACCATACCATCATCCTGAATATGATTAAAAACAGACGACTCAAAAATGGTACTAATAGTAATGAGCACATAAGCGTAGTCACTGAAGCCATGTCTGCATGGAACTGGGATTTCTCATAATTGCTTTTATACATTAATTAAATCCAGCGGAAAAATCTGCCATGTCAAATGTTTGAATAATTACTAGTTCACCCCTTTTGTCTATACTATTCCCAGAACAGGCACATATCTACTGATAATTACTAATTCTCATAGCTTTTAATAATCAAGCTCCCACTGTTCATGCAGACCTTTGTCTAATGTACAGCTTCATGTTCAGTCCTGAATTCAGGGGTCGCATATGTGATTCGACTGTTGCATGTTCAACAGCAATATGTCCAAACCATGTTTCAGTGGCTTTTTAATTTAACATATTTCAGTCATGGTGCATGTTACTGTGGTTTTAAAGTGATTCTGAATGTCACACCAGATACTACTTTAGTTGGACATTTGGCTTTTTCTGTTCCAACATTATTTACTGGCATGGTAATGCTGACAAGTTCTGATTCAGCTGTTCAATAACAAGCTGCATGTACAGTAAGTAACATGCCTTTGTTAAACCACATTAATGTAATTCAGATTGGAACTGAATTGCTGCACACTCTGATTGAAAGCATCAGATCTGTGTCGCATATGAGTGCAAAATGAAAAGTGGCACATTTTATGAAACAGTGTAAAGTCTCTTGGATGAGGGAATTCTAATATCTTCAAACAAGTCCAGTTGCCCTTGATTTTAACCTTATTTGGATAATCAAGAGCTGTATTTGTATAAATATTTCTTTTAGTTTCCTTTCCACTCTGTTTTCTATAATGAATAAATTCGGAGCATATATGATGACTGTCTGGGACATATGGCAGCACAAAACTCAAAGCTTTCGAATTATGACACTACAACATCCAATCCACAATAGGGGCACCTGTTAGCCACCATTTGAAAGCTTTTGTGTCCTTTTGCCAAACAAAGTAATACAGTCAATCTTCCAGCTATGGAAAATGGATTAAGTCTTATTCCTTCGCAAGATTCAATCTTCTGCCTTGAACCTGTAATGGTAATGAAAAACACTTTGCCAAACTCTGCACCTCCGTAAGATTGTATCCTGCAGGAAAACCAAAAAAAGGCTGTAAATCAATGGGTTCGCAGCAGCCATGCAGTCTGTGATAATGCAATTTAAAACGGTTGTGTGGAACCACCATGATCACACACAAAGTAGAGGTGCTCAGAGCCTTTTCCCAGATGCCTCAGGTTTCATGACTGGACTCGAGACACACAGGCTCAACCTCTTTTGACACTTGCACTGAACTGCACCAATACAGACCACATAATTCCTGTTTATATTATAATTTCCAGCTCTGTTCTACCAGAAACCCATTCAGTAAAGTTCAGGTCAATTTCTGTCAATTTCATCATATGTGCAACAGCCCTATGTAAACTTGAGGCAAGAAAGGAAAAGACTAAGGTATTCCATTTCCTGTTTATACAAACGTATATGCAGACCTTTCATTTTCCCACAAACTCTGTTTTCTTGGAGGCCATTGGTTTTCTTAACTTCCTTTCCCTCTTAGAAGCTCAATCCTTGACGGTAGCCTGACTAGATGCAACAGTCATTGGATTATCATCTGTATCTCTCTCCAAATTAAATTTGCTGAAAGGAACAGTTTGACAAATTAAGTTGGAAGCAGCTGGCATTGTGATGAGGACACTGGCTTCCTTCCCTTGTTCGTTTGAATGGGCGCTAGCACAGAGGCGGGCTGTCCTACTGCTAATAAAGCAAAGAGAGGCTGGGGGTGAGAGGAGGTCACTGAGACTTGAAGGAAATGGGGCTCTCGAGAAACAAATGGAAAATATGTGCTTTAAATCAGTGTTTGAGGCAACAGGAGAGGGCTTGGAGCCAAACTATTGTTTCAGACTGTCGTTGCTGTCTTCTGTTTTTTCTTTTTCTTCTGTTTTTCGACGAGAAAACCGGCTCTCACACTGTTGATTTGTCTCACAGAGACTGAGTCCTCAATGCTTTTCTAGCCGCTCAACACACTGCTACACCTCACACTGAGGGATGTTAGAACAACATTAGGCGAGTTATATCTGCCGCCATGCATGAGCCCTGCGCTGTAGGTCACCAAAGCCTTCTGTGAATCAGGGGATTGATCAGGTGGTTATGTAGGCTTAGCTAAATTAAAAACTAAATATACTCTCTGAGAGAGTAAATGGCTTTATCTGAAGCCAAACCAGCCGTGATCCCATGAACTCATTATTCACAAAGCGCATGCCTGTCTGCGTGCGATGCCATAAGGACACACGCGCCATACTCTGCTCTGTATGTGTGTGTGGCACCCCCTTGTACAAAAATAAAGCTTCTAGTCACTGTGCTGAATAGAATTGTGTGCTCATGCTCACTAGGGGATTTCCTGTGGTCTAGTCTCCCAATATTGCGGGCTGGGATAAACCCTGATCAGGAGGCCCTTTACAATGAAACATGTGAAATCCTTGGCACGCCGGCTTAGTCTCAGAGAATTGTGTCAAAAACATATTGTTTGGCTCCAGCAAAGAGGGCAATAAAGACAGAGCATTACTCCAGTGATACAGTAGAGATGCATCACGTGCAACGGGAAACACCTGGTGCGTGCAGACTCCCTTGGGAGAGGATAAGGCGAAGAGCGGAGCCAGGGTC